CTGGTTCTCCTTCTGAAAGTGAACACCTGAATCTAGGGAACAAAACTTGAAAAGGAGCATTTGATCATGGGTTATCAATGTTGAATGCTGTGAAACAATCTTTGTACACTATAAATATGTACTGCTCTCATTGTTAATAAAAAAGCTGGCCGATGGCTAGGATTTTCGGGGCAGAGAGAATGCTGGGAAGAAGGAGGGTGGAGTCAGAGGAGCCAGTGAGATGGAAAGAAAGCAGGACATGCAGGAGCCTCGGGCAGCACACAGATTAATAGAAATGGGTTCATTTAAGTTGTAAGAGTTAGTTAGTAATGAGCCTGAGCTATCAACCCAGCATTTATAATTAATAAGTCTCTGAGTGGTTATTTGGGAAGTGGCTGGCGGAACAGAGCTGATCACAGTCCAGTCCTGACAAAAAAGTCCACCTACAGTTGGATGTTGGGGTTACTCGGCTCCAGACCCCCCCAGTGACTGTTTTGTTCCTGGCAAGCAGACTGGTGCCATATGCTCTCAGATCCCAGGGAAACTGCAATTCCTTAAACCTGGATGCGCCTTGTATAACATCTCTGTAGCTCTTCCTACCTTACAGCTATTCTCACATAACGCCCTGTCTTGTCAAAGCTGACACAATCTAAATCTCAATCTCATTCTCTCCTTAAAAAACTTTTTTAGAAGGAGCTAGAGAAATGGCTCAGTGGTTAAGAGCACTGGCTGTTCCTCTAGAGGACCCAGGTTCAATTACCAACACCCACATTTGGCTCACAACTACCTGTAACTCCATTTCCAAGAGGATCTGATGCCCTCTTCTGGCCTCTGTGGGTATTGCATGCATATTGTGTTTATACATGTAGTCAAAATATCCATAAACATAAATTAAAATACGTGTATGAGAGTTTGATTGCATGTATATTTGTGCATCATATGTGTGCATGTCATCTATGGACACAGAAGAGGGTACTGGATCCCGTGCAACTTGAGTTACAGACAGTTGTAAGCCATCATGTGGATGCTGGGAATTGAACCCTGGTCCTCTGCAAGAGTAGCACGTGCTTTTAACCACTAAGCCACCACTCCAGCTCCTTTCTCTCTGTTTTTGAGAAAGAGTCTCACTCTGTAGCACAGCCTGGACTGGGACTCACTATGTAGCCCAAATTATCTTTGAACTCAGGGTGATCCTCCTGTCTCCTGGCAGTCTCCAAGTGCTGAGACCACAAGCCTGGGCCACTGCACCTGGTTGCAAACTGCTTTTTCTTCCCACAGCCATCTAGACCTCCATCCTAAACTTCCCAGAAGCAGTGTCAAGGGCAACAACAACAGTGGTAAAAACAAGAGAAACAATGGGTGCTGTTTAAATGGCCTTCTGTGTGTGTCCTCAAGACAGGCAGGTGCTATCAGAGCCTCGTGTGGGAGGTGAGGAAGCAAAGCGGTCGGCGAACTTGCCTGAGGCTCTGGGTTTATGAGCTCAGCTATCTCACTCTAGGGACAGCATTGAAAACTACATTCTGCACTGCTTTAAAAGTTGAGTGGCAGACTGGGTATGGTGTAATGGTGTAGTATGTCAGCAATCCCAGAGACAGAGGCAGAGACAGGAGGACTGCTGCATGTTTGAGGCCAGCCTGGCGTACATAGCAAGTTCTAGACCAGCCGGGGCCACATAGAGAGATCCTTTCTTAAAATTGTAAAAGTGCATGGCTAAGGCAGGATAATTCAAGCAGCCTGAGTAGCCTGTGTGAACCAGAAAAGATTTTCTTTCTTTCTTTTCTTAATGTTTTCTTTTTTTAGTTATTTTTATTATTTTATGTGCATGGGTATTTTGCCTGCACGTATGTCTGCGTACCCATGTGCATGCAGGGCCCACTGAGGTCAGAAGAGGGCATTGGGTCTCCTGGAACTGGAGTTAAAGACTGGGTCCTCTGGAAGAGCAGCAAGTGCTCTTATGAGCCATCTTTCCAGCCCCCAGGAGGTGCCTCTATTAAAGCTTCAGCTTGCCTGCATGTTCCAGGTGATTGAGCTCTCGTTTTTCACCTGTGGTCAGCGTTAGCAAGTCACCCCAGCTTTTAGTTTCCCTAAAAGGAAAGGTTCTCCTGAGAGCAATGGAATTCAAAACTCCAAACTCACACGGTCACACGCTGCATGATGACTTTTGGTCAAGAGTGGACCACATACAGGACAGCAGTCCCATGACAGTCTATCACTCAGTAGCATGACTGCCCCCTAAGTTTGGGTTAAGCATACTCTGTTGTTTGCACACTGTGGAAAGCAATCAACCACAGTTACACGAACATGCCACTGCTACTGAAAGACACCTAAGTGCATCCCTTCTTGTTTGTTTCTGCTTTAACATCATACAGGCATCCTTCAAAAGCTTGGAAAAGCCTGCTTTGGTCAAATTCAAATAACCCCATAGGCCTTATGTCTTTCTTGTTCCTTTCTTTGGTAATGGTTTCTCCTTGTTACACAAGCAGGCAGATCTCTACACTTTGCCCTGAAAGGAGTTAAGTAAGCTTTAAGTGGATTAAAACCAGCAAGGCTTTGATCTGCAGAGTTGAAATGTCTCACTCCCCAGCTCAAAAACAAACAAACAAACAAACAAAAACAAAAAACAGGAAAGAAGCCCAAGACTTAGGTCTCCAATTAACCTCCCAGGCTGACCAAAGCAGTCCCGACTGCTGTACAGCTCAAAGCCAGAGGGACACTCTTGGATGCTGTGGAGTCTGCTGAGCCCTGTGCCCTTTCCTTAGACATTTCTATGAATCCAGGCAAGGGCAGTGTTGAGAGTCGAGAAGCTGGGAACCGTGGGAAACCTCAACAGGCATCTACAGTATTTACTTTAAAAACCCCAGCTCTCAGAAAGTTTGTACTAGCTGATAATTTACAGCTTGTTACTAGTCAGTTCCTGAAGAGACAGAGAGCAAAGGCGGCAGAGAGGCCATGGGTCAGAGGAGGACCCTGCACTTGTACAGTGGTGGGGTGAAGATCTCAGTCACACAGCTAATGGAGTGGTGGCACACCCTTTAATACTGTGTACCATACTGTATCACAAAGGGTAGGGACAGAACAAACAGTCTTGTGCCAGGTTAGAACAAGTACACTACTTTCAAGAGTCTAATCTCTTCTAGCTTTATTCTGTGTACCTGACCAACCCCAGCAGGACTCAGATTGATTGAGGTGCAGACAGAATTGAGGGGTTACAGGTGATCTCTACATGCAGGAACCAGGTGGACTTGTGTCTTTCTCCAAGATCAGTGTGTGTGCCCTGCCAGCTCAAACTTGCTAGAGGGATGAACAGAGCTGCTGAGTGTAATCATAGAACACCTTCATAGTGTGTAACAGCTATGATTCACTAAATATTCAAAAATAACGATTTCACTAAATGTGATCAACAGCCATGAAGACAGCTGTTCTGTATCTTATAAATGCTACAAAGTATTGACTTCAAAACACATGTCGTCCTCCCAAAAAGCTGTATTCACTCCCCACTGCTCTGCTCCTGGGCCACCTTGGGAATAATGTTAAACATGGTTCAAGGGAAAGAGGTTCCTTGACAAGGGACACCAAAACTATGAGCTGAGCAGGCACAGTGGCACCGTAATCTCAGCCTTGGAAGGCTGAGGCAGGAGGATAGACAGTTTGTTCAGTTGGGCTACCTAGCAAAACCCTATCTCAGAAAGACAGGGAGGGAGGGAGGGAGGGAGGGAGGGAGGAGGAACTGGTGGGCTTTCCCTGTGTGCCAACAGCTTTCTGTCCAGCAGGCTCAGTCATCTCTTGTGTCTCACTGAACTCTTGCATATTGTATCTTCCCCGTTGATGCCCTTTGAAGCTACCCGTTATAAAAGACATAGAAATCTGTGAACACCCTCATTATTCTATTTATAGTCCTTCACATTCTGATCAATTCTTTTTTCTCTCCATCCACAGGAGTAGGCATAAATATTGTATCCGTGGCATGCCTAAAACCTCAAGCCCAAGAGCTGTGCTCCAGCAGACAGACTTGCTCCTGAAATACTGCCTTCGAATATGTGTCCTCATCTTTCAAATCCTCAAGACCCCCAGAGTGTAAGGAAGATAAAGATGCACGACATGAAGGTCAAACATCTCACAGCTAGAAGGTCTGACAGGTGAGGCTGCGAGGTGATAAGTGGAGACAGCAGCTTCTCTTGGAGTCGGAGCCAGGACAGATGGACAGTGGGGCCCATGAGAGGAGAGGGCAGCTAAAACCTAGCTCACCGCTTCATACCCTGGCACAAAAGCTCAGGTCCCATCAACTGGCTTGAGGGTGTCTTGGGCTGGAAAAGACCCTGAAACAGTCTAGTAGACTAGAGATAGAAGAAGAAACCTAGATCTATCATCTATCAGTTTCCTACTGTGTCTGTGAGAAACGCAAGTCACTTGGAGGATGTAGTGGTGCATGTGTTTGTGTCTGTGTTAGGGAGGCTAAGGCAGGAAGATCATGAGTTCAAAGACACACTGGACTACAGAGTGAGGTTCGAGAGCAGCCTGAGCTACACAGCAGGACTATCTCAGCAACAATGAAATAACAATAAAATCAAAGCAAAACAAAACAAAAATGGCTGGTGAGATGGCTCAGTCGGCAAATGGTCTTGTCATGCAAGATTAAAGATCTACATTTAAGCCCTGGAACCCATTTAAAGGTAATGGAGAGAACCAATTCCATAGAGTTGTCCTCTGACCTTAGCATGCACATCCCTTGCCTGCCCTCCAGTTTCTCCTTCTGCACCCCCAACACATGCACACACATGTGCATGCGCGCGCGCACACACACACACACACACACACACGCACGCACGCACGCACGCGCACATGCACACACATAAATTTTTAAAAACTGAACAAAAAATAACAAAACCCACACTCCACATGAAATAGGATGGTTAGAACTCGGCTTCTTCTAAGCACAAGCCTTGGTGTCAAAATTAAAGTGAGAGAACATTTCAACACCCTCATGTAAGCGGTCAGCTCCTCTCTAATTAACTAAGAGTTACCTTGGTGATCAACATAAGGCTTGAAGGCCTGAAGGATTTTTGGCACAGCCACACCCATGTCAAGTTCTGTCAGTGTTAGCTCATTCATAAAGTAGGGGAGCTAGAGAAAAGAAACAAACAGTGAATGAGACACATTAGTAAGCTGGTAGCCACACTACGGTCAGCCAGAGCTCCACACACTGTCTAAGGAGAGAGGAGGTAAGGTGTTGGGTCACATCTTTATGTACAAACCACAGAGGTAGAATCAAGTGAGCAGACAAATGCTATACTCTCATAAAGCAGGAACCGGGACAGAGGCGTGTGGACTTGGTCGTCAGGGATGGTCATCTAAGGAGGTGAGGAGGCATCGATAAGGAGTGGCATTTGACCTGCGACCTTCTAGGTGGAGGGCACACAGGTGGTAAGGAGGAGGAATGGAGAGTAAGAAATTGCTACATTTCTGACAGGCAAATTTACCACAAGGTTAAAAATAACTGGGAAAACCAAAACTAAAGCCCAAACCCCGACTCCACGTCCCTTAACGCCAGACTGCCTATTTCTGTCTTCCTCCATGCATCCACACTCCACCTGCTCCAAAAGCGCAGGTCCGTACGACTGTGCCCATGGAGCCAGTGTCCACGGTCTCACTAGCTTCAGGTTGCACATGTCACAGGGGACACCAGTGGCCAGGGGGACGACAGTGCAAGGAGAAACGTTAGCATCTGTCTTCACCCTCCAGTGAAGTCTGGTCTCCCTCAAGACAGGCAGCTCTCCCCTCTCAGCTCTCCTGCCAGAGGACTGGTAAACCGCTCTCCACCTTTGCCCTGGGGGGGGGGGGCACAGCTCCCCACCTCTGCTGGCCCAGGCAGCCTACAGTCTCCTCTTGGGTTTCTCTCCTCGGGCTACTCATCTGAGTGTGCCTGCCATCTTGTTCCCACTGGGTCTGACTAATCCCAACCCCATCAGCAGGAATTCATCAAGAAGAAATGATGTAAGAGCACCGCTGTCCTTCTCAGAAATCCCTAAGTCACCCCAAGATCACACCACGAACTTAATGAACTTATCTATACTTCCTCTGGCTGAATTTGTACTTTCTTTTTTTTTTTTTTTTTTAAAGATTTATGTATTTATTATGTATACAGCATGTATGACTGCAGGCCAGAAGAGGGCACCAGATCTCATTACAGATGGTTGTGAGCCACCATGTGGGTGCTGGGAATTGAACTCAGGACCTCTGGAAGAGCAGTCAGTGCTCTTAACCTCTGAGCCATCTCTCCAGCCCCGAATTTGTACTTTCTTAATCTGCAGGTCATTTGTTATTTAGTGTTAAGAGTGCGCTCTCTCTCTCTCCCTCCCTCCCTCCTTCCCTCTCTCCGGATCTCAATGTAACCCTGGTTGGCCTGAACTCACAGAGATTTGCCTGTCTCTGGCATCCAGTGCTGGATCCAAAGGCATGTGCCACCTCACCCAGCTTAGCCTGATTTAAATGAAGAATTCAGTATTTTCTCCAAATAGCCAGTTATCAATCTCCACGCTATTCACTGAGCAACTGTCCTGCCCCTTTAACCCCCAGACCCCCACCACCACACTGGATGGAGTCTGCACCATAATGTTTTCTGCCAGCATCAAACTTCAGAATATTCTTCTTTCTTTGTTTTTTGTTGGTTTTGTTTTTGAGGCAGAGTCTCACCATGTAGCCCAGGCTGGCTTTGAACTTACGATTCTCCTCCTGCTTCAGCCTTCTGGGTGCTGAGATTGACAGTCATGTACCGACACGCTTGACTACAACATAGCTTTAGAGTTCACAAGTCTGTCTTCCTTTTCTCACGGAAAAATCTTTTTTCTTTAAATTTTTCAACACAGGGTTTCTCTGTGTAGCTCTGGCTGTCCTAGAACTCATTCTGTAGACCAGGCTGCTCTGGAACTGAGAGATCCACCGGTCTCTGCATCCATAGTGCTAGGATTAAAGGCATGGGTCACTACTGCCCGGCTTCCCAACACAACCTTTTTATTTTTGGTTTTTCGAGACAGGGTTTCTCTGTGTAGCTTTGCGCCTTTCCTGGGACTCACTTGGTAGCCCAGGTTGGCCTCGAACTCACAGAGATCCGCCTGCCTCTGCCTCCCGAGTGCTGGGATTAAAGGCGTGCACCACCACCGCCCGGCACAATCTTAATTATGAGTATTTTCCTAGTTGCCTGTTAGACTGAAAATTAAGATTTTTTTATTTTAATTAAACACAGATCAAGATTTCGCACACAGCGAGGCTGCAGCTGGTCAGGTGTGAATTTGCTGCTTCCACAGCAGATCTCTGCAGCTGGCTCTCAGCGCGAAGTGGGATCTTTCAGGACTCAGCTGAGGAACTTCACCTCTGGCTTTTTTTTTTAAAACAGGGGTGAGGCCATAGACAACAGGAGGTCATATTTGTGATGAATTTGAGACAAGGTCTCCCGTAGCCCAGCTGGCTGCAAACTCACTCTATAGCTGAGGATGATCTTCAACTTTTGCCAGGGTTACATATGGGCGCCTCCATGACTGGAACCTAGGGCTCCCTGCATGGTAGGCCAACTATGTGCAGCCTCAGTCACACTTGTCTGAATTGGTCTAATCCCTGTCTTAGACACCACCCCCCTGCCCCCGAAAAAAGCATCAATGTGGATGTGGTTGACTTCTCTATCAACCTACAAAATGTTACTTGGCCAAGCAAGCGTGCCACACCTTACACACTTGCCACAGTGCTTTTCGTCTGTAACTGCCACTCAGGGGCCTGCCAGGTTAGAGAGATTCCATGGGCTAGCCAAGGCACCCCCCACAGTGTTTCTATGGGATCAAGTTGTCTGACACCACGACACAGCAGGAACTTAATTGTTTCCTTCCTTCCACATTGCACCTACCCCATCCTGCATCCCTTGGCAGCTGAAAAGGCAAAGGAAGACAGGTCCTGGGACAAAGGCAGAGCCTACAGGCACCAGGCCCTGAGGCAGCAGCACAGTGAATGTGGGGGTAAGATGGCCAGCAGAGCCTTCCTGGTCTAGCTAACCCCAAGCTGGCACATCTCCAAATAACCTCTCCTCACTCAGTTCTCTCCTGGATCAGAAGGTAAGAGGGTCCCTCCTGTGTACCACTCAACCAGAAACCTCCAGGTCCCACATGAGGCAGGAACAGGCTTGTGTTCTTTATGCTCCTAAGCTAACTCAACCTGGGGACAGAACAGTCAGGTGTACCAGATATGTCCCGACTTTTGGATGATCATCAGGCTGTGTGCAATGCCAGCACCTGCTGACGGGCATGAGCATCCCAAAGATGTATTTGAGCAGTAGTGGCCAAGACAAAGAGTTTACTTGCTGTTGGGGCAGAAACCCTGCTCCTGTTAAAGCTCACACCTGGGTACCAGATGCAATCTCCTGCTGACATCATTGCATGCAACAGTGGCAATCCAGGACTGCAGAACTTCGCATTATCCTTCTGCCCATTTGTTCCTCTGCCTGAGTCTCCTCTGGTCTTCAGAGCACACCATTGAGCAGCGGATCAGAATGGGGTGGGGATGAGGGGAGGAATAGCGAGAAGGGACAAAGCCCTCCCCAGCCTGACCCGTGGCACTTGCTCTCATCTTAACCTCCAGTCCTTCTGACCAGAAAAAGCAGAAGGGGCTTAAGCTGGTGAACCGCAGGAGCTTACGTGACCAACGGAAGCAGAAGACTTCCCTAAACTTTCTCTGGAATGAGGGCGCTCTCATTACTCCACCGGGGAAGAGTCACCATGACCTCTCACTCCTGGTTTGGAGGAGGCTGCTCCATGCTTCTGGAACTGGTGAGCTCCCATCTGGAACTCAGGCATACCCTGTCCTCTTCTTGCTCCAGGGAAGCACAGCCCTCCAGTCTCTGAGAAAGAGGCAGGGAGAGGCCCTCTATGGGATTTGACCTGAGACTCCAGCGTCTGTCGTTTCCAAGGTGACAAAGGAGTCAAGTGCACTTTAGATGGCTGCTGACATCTCTTCCTCCAACAAGGAGGGACCCAGATGATCATTGTTCCTCATGCATCTGGCCAGCAGGAGCCAGGTCAGCCCTCAACCTACCTTGGGGATGCTAACTGGTTGACACTTGTCGAAGCCCCACCCCCGACCCCCGCCAAAGTCCTGCTCTAAATCTCTTGAGGTCAGAAGCCAGCCTTTCTTTACTGGAGAGCTGGGGAAGGGCAGAGACTGGTCTGTAGAAAGCAAAACTCGACCAAGTGGCAAAAATATTCTGTTCCTTGTCCAGAGGAAGAAGCAAAATCAAACTGAGGCTCCTTTGTGTCCACATCCTTCTTCAAATCTAAGTTTATCATATTCTGACGTTTTCTTCACCGGGAGGCCTTGAACTCCCTGAGAGCACTGCAAAATTTTATGTCATGTCTACTCTTCTAGGAGGAGCCAAAGGTTTACGCTTCTCAAAGGAATTTATGGTCCAAAAAACTGCAGAACCGCTGACGTAAGCTTCTGATCAGAGACTCCCCGTGAGGACTCAGGACCAAAATGTTCTTCATTGGGCCTTCAGCAGGCCAAAGACTTGCGTCTCGGGACCTCCACAGGTCCCTGGTTGGCAAGCATGTCCTCTAATGACAGTCACGAGGACCCTTAGACAGTTTAAACTCACTTCCCAGCAGCCCTGGCCTGGCACTAGACGTGTTCCTTCAGCAAAGAGAGTCTAATACAGAGACTCTGGCCCAAAGCAAAGGCCAGTGGCCCACACAACCAGAGTGAGCACTAACCGTCCTAGCTGAGGGAGGAGGGCAGCTGAGAAAGGGTCCCACGCACTTCAAAATTTCCATGTGACTTGGCCCACTGCAAAACCAGGCAGAGAGTTTAACTGTCTCTAACTCACATCAGCTATAGGAGTCCCTGTTTTCCTAAACAAGCTGCAGAGGACCACCTGGGGAGGATAATGACAGAGCACCACTAGAAAAGCAATCGGGACATCTGACTCAGTCCCCAGATGCTTAGTCACAGATCAAGGTCACCCTGTGATCCAGGTCAAATGTGCTGTGTATGTATGGTATGCTTAAACCAAGGTACGTTTTCACTTAGGACCTACGGGGGCAGAACGTCCAGAAATGAAGAAGTGGGCATCAGAGGCCTCTCCCGTGAACAGTGATACCTTAATTTTGCTGAGTTTCATCTGGATTTTCTTTGACACCAGATCAGACCAGTATTTCTCGCCTAAGAAGTCCCAAAATATTCTTCCAAGCAAGGCATTCACCCAGGCTTCTTGCTCTTCCTCCTCAGAGGGTGGGGCCTCCGGCAACTGGCAAAAGAAGAGACTAAATTAGCTGTCAGACAACTGGAGACTCAGACAGGTGCTTATTTTCATAAAGCCTCCAAAGGCCCCTCCTGTGGAAACCAACACGTGACGAGCATCTTCCCTATAAATTACAAGTCCCACAGCGTGCTGGTGAGCGAGCAGAGGAGAAAGGGAACCGGCTGTCAGCTGTAACCTCCCTTTCGTCTGCTTTCTGCCCCTGCCAGTCCTCCCATGATGCAGTTGACACTCCCCAGCACGAGCTCAGACAGCCCTGACCATGCTCCCCCTCTCCACTAACTTGATGGCAACAAGCTCTCTATCAAAGCCCGCCTATCCTGAGCTGTCTATCGAAGCCTGCCTATCCTCCTCCCAGCCAGGCTTGGGCCTGCAATTGTCAAGCCCATCCTCATCCAATGGCCAGGACTCAAGTTCGGCCTGATCCCTGCAAGGTCAAGACATTCTTGAGGTGCTTAAAAATACTGACATTTGCATTGCTGTACCTCTGAGATACTGAACTCCGCAGTCAGGAGTTCCTGAAGCTCTCTCAGCATGCGACAGAGAGGAGAGTCAGGACCACATAGCTGGATGAGAGCTCGGCTCTCAGGACAGATGTGCACCTCTACTCCAGCCCAGCAAACACCCTCATGCCCACCCCCCCTCCTCTACCCACACACAATCTGTCCGAAACATCTGCTGGGACCAGTGGGTACGCAGCTCCAGCTCCAACTTCCTGGGCGAGTTGCTAGACTACGGAATCTGGCCTCTGGTGGGTCAGAGGTGGGGCTGGCGGAGGAAGGCGGCGGCGGCAGCTAGGAGGGGACCCTGAGGTTGGACGGCCAGCGCGTGCTGGTGGGCTCGGCACTTACACGGGTGGCAGCTTTAGTGCTGTTGACCATGGCTGCACACAGGCCAACAGCAGACTCCTTAGGCCGCCACGTTCGTGCATCTCGATACCCCAGGAAGACAGGAACCCTGCTTCCATCTGAGGAATGAGGTCCCTAGTGCATGACTGCAGCCTGACTCTGGTTCTCTGCTTACTCTGTCATGAGGGAGGGAGGGCGTGAATGTCCCTGCATGAGACAGACATTTGCGGAGGTATCTGAATTAGACTACTGCCTTACACAGAAGAGCAAGCTCTTGAAAGGAAAGATAAAAAAAATCCGGAAGTGTAGAAGCCTGAGGCCTGCTCCACTTTCCCTTTGTGATTTATATAAACATATCTGGGCTCCACACATGTTACGACCACACACTGTCCACACTTCTCCTTCATGCCTTGTGCATATGTGCCACCATGACATGTTCTATGCAACTGACTGTCCCACCTGGCTATGTGCCTAGGCCAGTGGCACGGCACACAGGTCATTAGGTGCCAAGGATCTGACCTCGCAGGTCTGACTGGTTGTGAGAAGCCCCACGGTCTATGTCATGTGACAATTCTGAAGCCATATAGACTGCTCAGCCGCCATGCCATAGCACAGCCGCGCCAGTTATCTGGGCACTAGGGAGTGAAGTGCTCACTCCCATTTTCAGCAACACATCAGGGTCTAGGACGTGTTCTAAACTCCTTCAAATCGAGGTGTTCGAGGGCTTCCTTATAGATGTCAGTGACTCATCAACGACAAACGGGCTGGAGGGGCAGCTCAGTTACGGGGACTTGCTGCTCTCCAGAGGATGCACTTCAGTCCTCCACACCCACTGGTGGCTCCCAATGACCTTCAATACCATATGTCACCCTCTTCTGGCCTCCATAGGCACCCCACACATGGCATGCATTCACACACACACACACACACACACACACACACACACACACACACACACACACACAAAATAAAAAATTTTAAAACACCCTTGTTTAAAATTGATACATGTTAGCCAGATAGTGGTGGTGCACGCCTTTAAATCCCAGCACTTGGGAGAGGCAGATGGATCTCTGAGTTCGAGGACAGTCTGGTTTATAGAGCAAGTTCCAGGACAGCCAAGGATACACAGAGAAACCCTGTCTCGAAAACAAACCAAAAGGATACATGTTGATCCTCCCATTATAGAAGCAGTGGCTCTACTTCACTCTAGAGAATTCTATGTGTGCTTCCCTAGTGCGACATGTCCTCAGACATCAGCCAAGACATTTTCCACCAGCAAGACCTGGATGGCAGGACAGAAGCTGGCATCAGCAACTTCTATTCTTTTGTTTTTGTTTTTCGAGACAGGGTTTCTCTGTGTAGCCTTGACTGTCCTAGAGCTTGCTCTGTAGCCCAGGCTGGCCTCGAACTCACAGAGATCTGTCTGCCTCTGCCTCCTAAGTGCTAGGATTAAAGATGTGTGGCACCAACGCCTGGTGGCATCAGCAACTTCTTAACCATACCACAAGTGTGCAAGTATGTGTGTGCTCAACACCCGCCCCCTCCACCCCACTCCCCACCGCCACCATCTTGTGCTATCATTGTCAGGCCGAGAGTAACAGGTGCAGCGGTTAACCCCATCAGATTATCTGCACAGGCTTTTGAAGAAACATGACATGTCTGAGGAATATGGCCCCCAGGCTACTTGGCCAGTGTCAAACCACTACCCACATCAGACACACAGTACTTTTAGTCTTGTGGGCTACCTAGAAGAGGAGGTTGCCTCGTGCCTTTTCAGGAGGGAGCAGGTGTCCTCTACCAGTCTTTCTTCATAATGCTCATTTTCACAGGAAACAAATTCCACCAAAAAAGCAGCAAGAAACAAAGACTATTTCACAATGCCGTCCAAGCCAGTGGCATGTGACGTGGCAAACATCTGAAGGAACTGACAAGCAAGTTGTTCTCCTTTTTATCAGTTCCTGTGGCTGAGGCAGGCGTCTGCGAGAGCTGCAGAACACTGACACGAAGCAAAGGGCTTTGCGAATGAAATCTGGACTCCACGGGCTGCAGAACGCATTCCCAGTGACTGTCATAAAAACCTGCATACACATCGCCTGTGGCTGTGGGGAGAAACCTGAGGAGAACATTCATTGTGCGGCCTCCTCCCTCCACATGGTTAGGAAGGGTGATCTCCCAAGCACGGCTTCCAAAGACAGCGTTTGGGGACGCTGACGTTCCGAAGATGAAGCAAGGCCACTGAGACTGTCTATATAGCTCTTGGGGAGTACTGTATTTAAAATGAACTTCTATGCCCAACTCAGCACAGATGTACTCCGTTTCATGGGAGGCCAGGGGTGCCCTTCTGCTGAGAGAGAGCAAGCCTCTGTCCCCGAGTTTGGTCACGCAGGGCTGCTGTCTCAAGGTGGCACATGTGGCAGCCTGGCCCAAGAGCAGACACAGCAGGACACTTCTTTCACACTGCGTGCCTGTTTCTCCTGATTTTAAAACAATGCATATTCATTATAGAACACACACATGATCTCTTCCCAGACAGAACAGAAACATTTTCACTATATTTTATTTAAGTATCCTCCCCACCCCTGCCACCCTCACACACCTTAAAGGCCCATGATGACTTAAACTGGCAAGCCTCTCACTTCAGCCTCCTGAGTACTAGGATTACAGACATGCGCCACCAAGTCCAATTTCAGTCTTTTCCCAGTGTATCAATATTTTTAAAAAGGTACTGGATCAGGGTAATAGCATATGCCTTTAATCTCAGCACTTGGAGGCAGAGGCAGGCAGATTTCTGTGAGTTAGAGGCCAGCCTGGTCCACATAGTAAGTCCCAGGCCAGTCAGGGCTACATAGTAAGACCATGTCTGGCTCCCCTCTACCTACCCCTCCCCCCAAAAAATGGTTTTATAAGACAGAGTCTCATGTAGCCCAGGCTGGCCTTGAACTCATTCTGTAGCTGAGGATGGACCTTGACTTCTGATTTTCTTGCCTCCATCTTCTAAGTGCTGGGATTACCCTCAGGGCTGGGACACCAGGCCTGACCAAAGTATCAATACCATACTTTCATTTTTAAAAAGTGTGTGTGTGTGTGTGTGTGTGTTTGGTTTGGGCACTTGAGTGCAGGTGCCCAAACAGGCCACAGCCCTGAAAGCCCAAAGGTACTGGATCCCCTGGAGGTGGAGTTACAAGCAGTTGTCAGCTCTGGGAATTGAACTTGGGCCATCTGCAAGAGCAGTATGCACTCTGTATGGCTGAGTCATCTCTCCAGCCCCATATGCTTTTCTAAAAACACTTTTTAAAAATGAAAGTATGGTATTGATACTTTGGTCAGGCCTGGTGTCCCAGCCCTGAGGGTAATCACAGTACTTAGAAGATGGAGGCAAGAAAATCAGAAGTCAAGGTCCATCCTCAGCTACAGAATGAGTTCAAGGCCAGCCTGGGCTACATGAGACTCTGTCTTATAAAACCATTTTTTGGGGGGAGGGGTAGGTAGAGGGGAGCCTGACATGGTCTTACTATGTAGCCCTGACTGGCCTGGGACTTACTATGTAGACCAGGCTGGCCTCTAACTCACAGAAATCTGCCTGCTTCTGCCTCCAAGTGCTGAGATTAAAGGCATATGCTATTACCCTGATCCAGTACCTTTTTAAAAATATTAATACACTGGGAAAAGACTGAAATGCCTATCCAGATCCTTGACCCACTTTAAAATTTATTTTTGTGTACATGAGTGTTTTGCCTACACGTATGTCTGTGCACCATGTTCATGTCTGGTACCTGTAGAGGCCAGAAGAGGGTTTGGATACTCTGGGATTGGAGTTACAGACAGTTGTGAGCCACCATGTGTTGCTGTGACTTGAACCCGGATCCTCTGGAAGAGCAGCCATTGTTCTTGACTGCTGAGCCATCTCTCCAGCCTCCTAACCCATTGATTGTGTGTTCATGTTCGTGTGTGTGCAAGCGTGTGTGTAGGAAGGCCACAGGACTACTCTGGATACTGTCCCTTATGCTGCCCACCTTGTTTTTTGAGACAGGGTCTCTGTGTGGGACCTGAGACACACTGGGTAGGCTAGACTGGCTGGTCAGTGAGCTGAGACTCCACCTGTCTGTCTCCTCGGGGCTGGGATTACAGGCACATGCCACC